ATATGGACTGGTCACATATGGCTCTTCAAACTGGCAACCGCACCTCTACGAGGAATAGCATTAGCGATTAGCATCAAGCTAATTATTCATTCGCATTAAGCTAGCTGTTAAATTCCAAACATATTGATTTAGCACAGTGTTTTGACAACAGAAAATGTACGTCGTACTTCATTTGTCATCCATACATCTAGCTAAGGCTCATATAATTGACAATGGCTTATAAAACACCGTACTTAATGATTGTGCTAACAGCGAAGAACTCACCTCGCGCCCGTCTCGCATATAATGGCGACGAGGTAGCTGTGCACACTGTTCTTATCGCGACCGACCACCAAGAGAGGGCGCTGTTTCCCCATAAACACAGCCAGAAATGAAAAATAATGACAAGTGGAATCATAACAAATTAAACCCGTTACACAGACACTTAAGTTCAAGAGGAAAACTCCCATTATTCAGGTAAAATAATTTATTGAATTAAATTGTTTAATTAAATAATACAATGACTCAAAAGTGCAGATTTGATTTGAAAATCATCTTCAACTTTGTTTTTGTTTGTACATAAAATAAATGCAGTAATATTTGATCAAATTTATTTATATGATAAATACACATTCAAGTTTTTTAACAGGAAAAAGTAAAAATAGTATATATCTGGGAAAGCGAGCCAAATAGCTCTACTGTAATGAGAAGAACTTATGTTGAATCCTGTTAATAACAACTAAAGAATCACTGCTGTTTGTTTCACAGTGTCAACGACACTCAACATGGACCCCAGAAAGTTCACTTCCCCATCACAGACCAAGGTAAGATTGGATCATCATAATGAGACGACTGTTTCCTGGGATTACACACATTCACATTTAGGCACACGGCCCGTGTCTTACATCAGCAGCATGATGAGCAGTGTGTGAGCAAAGTTTATAATCATGTCCATCAAATAAACAAACATAATAACAGAGTTTTAGAATTGATTCACAGAGAGGCATTGAAATCCACAGTTGATGAAAAATATGCTAGATTGACCAGAGAAGAACTTGTAGCAGGCGTGTGGAGATTCATTCTCTCTATGGAGACAGCTGAATCAAGTGGATAAGCTCCTGATTGGCCTTTCAGGGGTATCTTTGGCCTCTCAGGGGTATATTTGTCTCTCTCACTCTCACAATGTAACTGAATTTCTACAGGTTAGTGTCTTTCCTTTCCTATTACTGATGTTATTGTGGCCAGTGGCCCGCATTAATGTTGGTGTGTTATTATTAGCCATTAGCCGCAGCTAACAATTCCAGGCTAACGTCACGTTTATGATCATAAACAATGTAAATAAATAAATCAGAGAGAAGGGGCGCAGACTCAACAGGTCAGCGTTGCGCGCGAGATGGGGGTGGGGTAGGTGGGGTGGTATCGATACTTTTGAAAATGAGTATCGTATCCGGATACAAGGTTTTAGTAGCCATACTTTTCTGAGTGTCGATACTTTTGACAACCTTACTCACCACCAACATAATTCCTCAAAGTCCAAAGAAGAATGCAGAAACCTGACAGTCTGGGAGTGATTCGGCCAAACCTCCTAAGGACTCTGGAGGACTGGACGAGGAAGATGTTTCCAAGGAATAACTCAAAGTTTAAAAATGAAAACGTGCCAGAGTGGCAGGGACAGAGTGAAAGAGATCGATGTGCACAGATCTGTTCTACAGTTGTTTTACTGACTGGAGGACGGTCTTTATACTCAGCACAGACACACTGAGGAACCAGGAGCCTCGAACCCAAACCCGGGAAGCAGAGGTTCCGCAGAGAAGGTGGTGCTGAAGGTGTGGAGGTGGATCAGAGAGTCTGAGGAGACTTTGTAGAAGCTCAGAGAGCCGGCAGGACGGTCCAAATACACTGCTACTCTGTTAGGGGAGGAGGTGGAGGAGATGGGGATTCCTCTGTTGTTGTGCCAAACAGAGTAACCAGAAACACCTGAGCATCTCAGAGTCCAGGACTGAGTATTCCCTCCAAACATGCAGTCGTTAGCATCTCCTCTCCTTCCGATTTGTCTGTAACTCACTGATACAGAAACTTCTCCACTACACTCGACCTCCCAGTAGCAGCGGCCGGTCAGGTCCTCCTCACACAGCAGCTGCTGACACCAACCTTCAAACCTGTCTGGATGGTCAGGATATGGCTGAACCTTCTGCTTATTTGTCACCTTCCTGTTGTCATCAGACAGCTTCAGGTTTCTGTTCACCGTGTTGGTGTCGATTGTGAGACGACAGGAGTCTGATGGAGAGAACAAACAGTCACTGATCAGCATCATTTCACTCTGATCGATGAGGGAAGGCGACTGGTATGTCAGGAATCAGATAACACACACTCACACTTCCTCAGACCTGGTGTCAGCCATCGTTCCCCAGCAGGCTCCACCCTGAAAGGACGAGGGGGGTCAGAGCAGCATGCACACGTGGAAATTTGATGTTAAATGACACAGACTCCAACTGCTCCAAATAGTATATATAACAATAATAATAATAATAATAATATATATAACACTTCAATGCCAGGAACTGTTCAGATTTGAGTTTGGTGGCGGTTGCAAAAAAACAAAACAGGAATGGCTACTTGGACAGATATGCAAAGGCGTGCGGTAGCACAAATGACGTTCCTGTTTTTTTTGCCCTGCATGGATAGTTGCGCACCACTTGAGGCTAAATCTTAGTGCGTTTTCTCCTCCGATGCAGAACTCTTCAAACCTTAAAATATCCAGCCGACAGCGTCTGTGGGTAAGGTTCAGAGCGGTCTGCAGAAGCTCCACCCCTGAAGGTCCTGGATGGTTGTAGCTCACGTCCAGTTCTTTCATATGGGAATCGTTGGAGGTCAGAGCTGGGACCAAAGCAAAAAAGCCTGCTTTTTCAATCAGACATCCTGAAAGCCTGCAGGAAACAAGAAAACAGTCAGTCCCTGTAAGGAAACTGCAATTAAACAATTGTGATGCCCACAATGGACAATACGGAACATTTTTTTCAAATTTATAACAAAACTGATGTTTTGACACTGACATCCAAAGACAAAGATTAATATTTACAAAGGTATGTTTTAAGTTTTGTCTAGTTTTGATTGTTGCTGGCATTAAATCCATAATTCTTTCAAAAGGAATTGAAAGAACTTCAGAATTGTTATATTATATCTAAGAAACACACAAACACACAGCACCTGCATAACAAACAAATTTACGCAGTTTACATTTTGAATAACAGTTCAGTGCATCCTGACCTGAGACCCTTCAGCCTGCAATTTGGACTCTTCAGCCCCTCAGAGAGCTGCTTCACCCCTGAATCCTGCAGGTCGTTGTTGCTCAGGTCCAGATGTGTCAGACTGGAGGACTCTGAGCTGAGAGCCGAGGACAGAGCTTCACAGCTGCTCTCTGACAGGTTACAGCCGCTCAGTCTGAGGAGGGAAAACACATAAAAGTTAGTTATTGTCATTTACGTAGTTAGGGGATTTTCCATCCATCTATTGGCTATAACCCGACCCCAGCTGACACTGGGTGAGAAGCAGGTACACCTGGACAGGCAAGTCCATCACAAGGCCTCATCACTACTATTTTTGTTTTTTTCAGTGAAGCAAGGATCCATGTTTTGGAATCTCTAGACTCACACAGCTTTAGTGGAGGCTTTGAGCACCGGCAGCAGCCTCAGCAGAGCCTCCTCTGAGGCAGAGTACTTCCTCAGGTCAAACACATCCAGATGTTCCTGTGATGACAGTAAGATGAAGACCAGAGCCGACCACTGAGCAGGAGACAGTTCATCCGTGGAGAGGCTTCCTGAACTTAGAGACTTTTGGATCTCCTCCACCAGAGAACCATCGTTCAGCTCATTCAGACAGTGGAACAGGTTGATGCTTCTATCTACAGAAACATCCTCACTCAGCTTCTCCTGGAGGAAGTGGACTGTTTCCTGATTGGTCTGTGAGCTGCTTCCCGTATGAGTCATCAGGCCCTGGAGGAGCCTCTGATTGGCCTCCAGAGAAAGACCCAGCAGGAAGCGGAGGAACAGGTCCAGGTGTCCATTTGGACTCTGCAAGGCCTTGTTCACAGCACTCTGATGGAGGCGTTTGAGTTTTTTTTTTATGTTGGTCGCCTTAAACCACTTTTTCTCTTCCAGCATGTTCTTTCCAGATCTGATGAAGGTCAGATGGACGTGCAGAGCAGCCAGAAACTCCTGAACACTCAAATGGATGAAACAGAACATCCGGTCCTGGTACAGCCCGCTCTCCTCCACAAAGACCTGTGTGAAGACTCCTGAGTAAACTGAGGCTGCTGAGATATCGATGCCACACTCTGCCAGGTCTGATTCATAGAAGATCAGGTTTCCTTTCAGGAGCTGATCAAAAGCCAGTTTTCCCAGAGACTCCACCATCTTCCGGGTCTGTTTATTCCAGACTGGATCTGTCTCAGCTCCACCATCATACTTGACCCTCTTTACTTTGGCCTGAACCACCAGGAAGTGGATGTACATCTCAGTCAGGGTCCTGGGCAGCTCCCCCCCCCCTCTGGTTCTCAGCTCGTCCTCCAGAACTGTAGCAGAGATCCAGCAGAAGACCGGGATGTGGCACATGATGTGGAGGCTCCGGCAGCTCTTGATGTGGGAGACGATGCTGCTGGCCTGGCTCTTCTCTTTGAACCTTTTCTTGAAATATTGCTCTTTCTGCTCATCTTTAAAGCCTCTGACCTCCGTCACCATGCCGACGCAGTCAGCAGGGATCTGATTGGCTGCTGCGGGCCGTGTGGTGATCCAGAGGCGAGCGGAGGGAAGCAGCTTCCCCCTGATGAGGCTGGTCAGCAGCACGTCCACTGAGCTGGACTCTGTGACCTCAGTCAGGGGCTCCTGGTGGAGGAAGTCCAGAGGAAGTCGACTCTCATCCAGACCATCAAAGATGAACACAACCTGGAACCTGGAAAAGCTGCAGACTCCTGCTGCTTTGGTTTCAGGAAAGAAGTGATGGAGGAGTCCCAGCAGGCTGAACTGTTTCTCTCTCAGCACGTTTAGCTCTCTGAAGGTGAAGGGAAACAGGAAGTGGATGTCCTGGTTGGCTTTGCCTTCAGCCCAGTCCAGAGTGAACTTCTGGGTCAGGACTGTTTTCCCAATACCGGCCACCCCCTTCGTCAGCACTGCTCTGATTGGCTGCTCTCTTCCAGGTGGGCCTTTGAAGATGTCTTCCAGTCTGATGGTTGTTTCTGGTCTGTGTGGTTTCCTGGATGCTGCTTCAATCTGTCTGACCTCGTGGTCTTCGTTGACCCCTGCAGCCCCTCCCTCTGTGACGTAGAGCTCTGTGTAGATCTGGTTCAGGGGGGTCGGGTTTCCAGCTTTAGCAATGCCCTCAGAGACAGTCTGGAACTTGTTCTTCAGAGCAGATTTATGTTCACGCCGACAAACTGCAGCTAAAACCTCTGCATGAAGAACAAACAACATCAGTGAATGAACATCAAACCCTGTAAAGCAGCCTGAGAACATCTGCAGGCTGGTAAAGCTGTGACTTCTGCAGCAGGTCAAATCTCTCACTGCTCTGCAGACGCTCAGCCAGCTCCTGCTGCTTCATCTTCTTCAGGAGGTAAATTGTGATCTTCACCACTGACACCCTTCTCCTCCCTTGCTCCGTATCTTCAGCCTCCCTCTGACTCTCTGAGCCTGGTGGGGAATCTGGACTCAGAAGCTTCTGGATCTCCTTCAGCTCCTCCTTCACAAACGTGATCATGTTGTCCTCCAGCAGCTGGAACAGAAACTCTGAATGAGTCCATCAGACTGAAACATGGAGCCAGACATCAGCTCCATGATGGACTCTGACAGCTGGTCTACAGAGTGCAGAATGGAGATGGAAAGATGTACAGACCCTGAAGATGGAGTCCAGCTGGGAGCCACTGGGAGCCTCTGAGCTCTGCTGGGCCGCTCTGTGGAGGAATTATGAAAAATCAGATCAGTTTCTGTGTCTCCACACAGCAGATATCAGGAAGTGAAGCTCAGATGTTCACTTCCTGGCTTTGCTCAACCATATTAGTCACCCCACCCAAAAACATTTTTTGCCTATATTATTATAGATTTAGAGGTAGTTGTTGGATAACTCAACACTCAAACCATCTGTACCCAGATATGTCAACAGAGATGAGGATTGGAACAAATAAACTCAGCTCCCTCTGAGAAGTCTGTTCATCTGAGCTCCATTCTTTAAAGATGGGAAACACCATCACAGCTTAACTCTCCGAAAGGGGCCGTCTCAGACCTCCATAACACTAAAGAGGCTGTCAGCCCACAACAGCCCCATCATGTCTGGAGTAGGGGTGGAACGGTTCACAAAATCCACGGTTCGGTTCGGTTAACGGTTTCATGGTCACGGTTTTCGGTTCGATTCGGTATATGTTGATTGTTAGGAAAATCTATTATGTCTTGTATAGTCAGGTTAAAACTGAAAGAAAAAAGCAGTCTGACATTTGATACATCATTGTGACAGTCTTAGGTTAACCCTTTAAAGCCTGAACCAAGAATAAGTTTGAAGTCTTTATTTGGCCTTTTAACAAAATATGTAAAAAGAAAAAACAAATATACATTTTTAATATCAATAATTTATTACTATGCGATATGTCAAGATTATTTTTCGTGTAGTCTTCTGCCCCCTGTTAGGTGTCAGGTGTATCTAATTGTGTACAATAGGATTTTGAGCAAAGTTTTTACCATTAAATTATGCAAAAGGTGTCAGATGCAAAACATTTCAGAAACCGGATGTATCAAATATGATATGTTTGGCATTACAGGGTTAAAAGTAGGTGAGATTCTGGCATTGCACGAGAGGAGACAGTGCTTCGCTTCTTCTTCTTGTTTACCACTGGTGGTTGGCTTTGGGCGCAGTAGCGCCACCTTCTGCTCTGGAGTGAACACGCTTCCCTCTGAGAAAAAGGAGCAGCATGAACCGAACGCAACACACGCGAATCGAACCGAGACAGTCGAACCGAACGGTTTGGAGGGTTTTCAGAAACCGTTCCATCCCAAGTCTGGAGCCTTTAGCATCCCAGAGGGAATCCTGTTAACCCTTTAGTCCAAATATCCTGATGACTTCCACCTTGGTATGGATGAGTCCTAAGTCCATAACATGTGGCTCCTCAAAGGAGGACAAGCGAACAAATAGAAAACTATCTTTGAACAGAAAGAAACCCTTCAGGACCAGGAGAGACATCTGTTTTGACCCCTTGGAGGTCGAAGTGACAGAATTCAGGAGATCCTCAAAGTTATTCCAGCCCCACCATCCATATTCTCAGTTCAGCTCAGCAGCTCCTCTCTGAGGGATGGACCCAGCTTTCCTTCAGCGTGGTCAGATCGTCTGTCAGAACACTTTCTGGTCAACTCAAAGTCCTTCATGGTCTTCAGATGCCGTGACAAACGTTTAGGCCGCATCTCCTGAACACTCATCATAACTAAAACATTTCTGAAGAAATTTTGGAGGGGGGCCACCCGCTGCCCGTCTGGGAACCCGGGGCAGGTCGGCCAATCGATATTTGGGCTCTCTGTAATGTGGGCTCGCGCCTATGAGAGGGCCTGAGGGAGAGACGCAGTGACGGAGGGACCCGGCTGAGCTCTGGGGCCCGCTGACCGAATGCGGATGGCGTGGGCAGGTCGGGGGTCACGTTGGCTGAAAGCTGAGAAAAAGACCTACGCAACGAGGTATGACATGGCACCGGTCCGGTTCCGACCCGGTTGGGTCCGATCCCCAGAACCAGAACCAGAACCGGGCTCTGACTAAAGCCCTCTAAGCGGGCTTCACCCGCATCGTAACAGAAATAACGTATTTCTTAAAAAATCACTGAGAGCGGGCTTCGCAAAATCAATTTATTGCTTAAATCTTTTCTAAGCACCAGAAGCACAGATCACAGAGCTCTGCAGAAGAG